TAAACATAGAGCCGCGATGATAATGAATGTCAAATAAATGTTTGTATTGAGTGGATATAACCGCAGTACTGTTAAAACTTTGCAAAACGACTTTCTGTATTATTTTCTTCAATTCTACACGTCGAAGTGTAGAATATTACCGGTGTTAAACTGCAACGACATTATATTGCTCGTATGCACCGAGCATAATCGCGAATCGTGGCAAAAGATCGGTCCCCTCGCCTGTCTCGTACCACGCTATAACGCACCGGACATAATCGGCCGTTAATTCGTTGACCCGCGGACAAAGGGCGTGTCCGAGATTGATACAAAGTCGCCGTTCCTCCATCGCGGCTGAGGAACCGATCTCTCGACTCACTCATTTTTTGCAGTCGGCTTTTAAGCCCTCTTCCATTTCTTTTCACCGCGTCGTCCTCCGTTATTATGCGCCTGATAATGGCGGCGCACCAAGGTAAATATAGTGGGGACGACTTTTGTGGGAAATTGGTCAGCGGGGATTGCGTCGTTCGCTGACATTATTGTGAAGGTGGAGTGTGAACAAAGTGTGACAAGAAATTTTATGGTTTTTTGTGCGGTGCTAGATTGAAGTTTGGAATTTTTTGAAAAATTTACCTCAATTTAGCTCTGTATGAAGTGACTCTTGAACGAAAATAATTGACATAAGTGCTGCCAACACAATGACACGTTATATATCAAACGTGACAGCCCTGTCCTAGGGCTACCAATATTTACAAACTTAAATCCTTTCGATTGCCACTGTCACGTGACATTTGAAAATAGAATCTTCATTTCTAACCTGAAAAATAATTATTTCTCTCGTTTCGTACTACCCTGTGTACAATGACACAATCGATGCTCCCAACATTCCTATTTAATTCCTCATCATAATTTACAGGGTGTCCAATAAATAACGACATACATCGGTGAATAATGAAAAACTGAATTGAAGGACGTATTAAAATCAAGACGATTGGAAGTTTTCGATCGGCACGATCAAACCTGCACAAACTTCTGTCTCTCTATTCTTTTTCTTCTTTCGAAGCTTCATTAGCCGACTTTAATTACGACGACGGACCAAAGATCGTTGTCGCGCGGTGGAACAGGATGGTTGCCGGTTCAATAGACGCCCGCCACTGGCTCTCGATCATTTATCATCTCGAGAGCAATTATCGTAATTAATATCGCCGGCGTGGCATTGGTACGCAAACGGTTTGGATGTCGTGGCGCTGATTTTTCTTCCGGTATCACGGTGCAACATCCGTTCTACAGTGGCCGCCATTAATCGACAGTTTCATCGAATCGCCACCGCGACGTTTCTTCTTCACCTCTTTTTTTTCTTCTTCGTCAAAACAGACGAAATAGAATCGTTTACATGTGCATTGAAATTTTATGAACCGTAACCAGGAAACGAATTAAAACGGTGGCAAAAATCGACGAACCGGTTTTATTAGTGAGACAGTGCCATCTGTAGGGGACGAGGACGAAATGGAAAAAAAAGATGGCGAGCGGTATGAGACGTGATTTATTCGTTCCGGCCTCGTTTCCTGTTAAATTCTGGAATTTAACTGATGCTCAGTGATACAGAGTGATTAGAGGTGTGCTTTTCTTGGTTTCATTCGCTGTGCGACGGGTATTCGAGATTCAAGCTTTTTTATTGCTAGAAACAACACACCGGTGACGTGTTATTGGGAGAGGTTAGGATGTTCTGGTTCGTTTGACGAGGCAAATGATACGATAGGCCAGATTTTCCTGTCGTTTCGTATTTTTCACGGGTGTAATGACGAAGTACAAGCTCGTTCGTAGAATACCGTTATGTCATTTTGATTGTAGGTTGAACAGTTCAGTTTTTAAGGAAACGCTCGAAGGCATTTTTATTATTATCGTTCAGTTAGATTAGAAAAAATACAAGAAACATAATAACAGTAAAAATTCTTCATCTTATATTGAATTCTACTGTCTTATTCTTACTTTTATATTTTATATTTCCAATTTCAACCAACCATCCAGCTACCCTTAATTCATCACCAAAATCATCCAATCTCCATCACTGAAAACAGTCTCCGCTCAATGTAAACCAACCTTAAGACCCCAATTTATTAAACCCATCAAAATTTCCCGAATTAAATCACATTCAAGTGTCTCGGTTAGTCGTGTAGTCACTTCAGTATCACACAAATGTCCAGAATCTCCTAGGTCAAGCAGTCTAGGAGGTAATAACATTAATCCAAGCTTGAAGGTCGTCTCCTCGTGGTCGACGTGGAGCAATCCCTAGTGGTCGAGTCGTTGGATTCTGGTATAAAGTGAAGGCGTCCCGTGGAATGGACCAGGAGGACCTGGTCAGAAGCTGTCTTGGCCTCTGTCGCGGTCTGTCCCTAGACGGGATGCGGTTTGAGACCCTAGACCCTCCTCCTCTATGGTCGGTGTAATTTTAATAAGCCATATTACGAGCTTGTAGCTACGGAAACGGCTTCCTTTTGTGCTTCGACTGGAACAGAATGCACAGGATGTCTTTGGGAACATTTCACATAAATTGTATCTGTGTTAAATATATGCTTTGGTGTACCTTTTGCTTTTCATTCGTGGAATCTTTTTTACTGTGAGTATTTTTGAATAATTACTACATTCTTAAAATAAAAATTTGTGTTTGACATTTTTGGAAATTTATATCTGAAAATTTCATTTATGCTAGAGGATTGAGTTGTCTCGCAAATTATCCCTCACAAAATTCACCTCAATTTTTGTTTTAATATTGAACAGTATTAAAAATAGTGGAAATATTTTTAACAGGAGTAAGAATCATCTCTAATTTTCCACATTTCCTACAAATCACTCACTCTCTAATTTACTAAACTTTCCCATGAAAAAGAAAATTCACCGTTCAATTTCTATTAAACCAAAAAAAAAAAAAATGTCCGTATTTCCACAACTGTCCCAGTTCCACAGGAAACAATCCAGAGAAGTAAAAAAAAAAGGGAAGAATTTGGAGGGTCGAGGACGATTTGATTAACGGATTAGGCGTCCGTTAGAAGAACCGTCGGAGAGTGAGGGTCGTTTGGAATAAATGGGATATCGCTTTAATGAATTTCCAGCGGAACGTCAGGAGGCGTCATCCCCAGCGCAGCCTGAGGATTAAGCGGAGCAATCTACGGCATTTTTTTCTCGCAAACGACCAGATTTTTATGCCTAATTAATCGCCACAGAAAGAGAGAGAAAGGGAGAGAGCGAGATACAGGGGAAGAGAGGGATTTAAGGGACGGAAATTCGCGCGATACAACCGCGTCTTTCAGTGGTTGGGGCGATGCGGTGATTTGTGGCGCACGATTATGTATACAGAGTGTGATGCCCCCTCTTAATTAGATTTCATAGAAAGTCCTGCATTAAATCGCCGATTAGCCTCGAACGAGATCGTTATTAATTCTAATTCTTCTGGATAGAGGAAAAAAAAAATACACGAGAGAAGATTCATTGCGTAGGATAAAGATGGACATTTTGCGGTGCTTGAGGGAGAGGAGTTGGTCGAGTTAATTTGACGAATTGCTTGCTGCTTGTCTCTTCGTGGGAATATATTTTTCCATTTGGAGATGTGTTGAAAAATATTTTTTATCATATGAGACACTGGGAAACCAAAATGATCAACTCCACTTTTTTATTTTTGAGTTAGACCACTTTAAGGAGGTTAAAATAAAATACAAAATTCTTAAATTCCACCTATTTTTTAATTTTTGAGTTAAACCACTTTGAAGAGGTTAAAAAAAATATATGAAATTCTAAAATTCCATTTGTTTTTAAATTTTTGAGTTAGACCACTTTGAAGAGGTTAAAAAAGAAAATAAAATTCTTAATTCCCGTTATTTTTTTAAATTTTTAAGTTAAACCATTTTGACTTAAACCTCAAATTCCACTTTTTTTTTTAAATGTTTGAGCCCGACAACTTTGAAGAGGTTAAAAGAAAAAATACAAAATTCTTTTGATAAATTTTAGAAATCATTCTATAAAGAGAAAGAAAAAATTCATTGACAAATACTTATAAACCTGTGTAGTGTGTCCGATATTCGTCGACACGAAGGAAGAACAGTTAGCCAACCAAATCAACGAACTATCCTAGACACAGTAGTAGACATTCGATGGTGTGTAGACCAGGAAGAAAGCTGCAGGAGCCGAAAGTTTATCCACGAAGTTTCGAGTGCAGAGCCTGGTTGATTTATCGGGCTCATTACTGCCAGGAAAGAGGGAGGACTACACGGGCAACAGCCACCCCAGCGGCGTGTTTTACAAGACGGCATTAATTGCTCGAATTAAATATGCACCTCTCTCCGTGGCGTAATTTATTTCGGTTTCCTTAAGCACTTTAAGTCGTCGGGAACTCGCCGACGCTTTCCACGGACGTTAATAATGGCCTCGTAGGATATTAATTGACGTTGCTCACTGTAAAAATCTCCGGAGTCTCCGGGCTCTACGCTTTAATCTTGACCGCTAAAGTCTCTTTCTTACCTTCTTCGCCTTTAATTCTCTGTGATCGTCGGGGATATGTCTGTTCACCGATTAACGTGTTACGGGTTTTATGTTTATCCTTGTGTGAATACTGTTTGAACAGGGTAATTGAGTGTAATTTTTTGATGCACGAGGATGATGATTAATCCTTTGAAGCTTGAGCATAATAATTCCTTGACACATAATACATACATTTGGGAATTAATGTAAATGAAATAGAATTTTTTTTTGGTTTACTTGAAATTTTTATCTATATACAGGTTAAGTCAAGACGCGAGCGTACTTTTTAAAACAATTAACAAAACTATTCGGCAAAAGTAAATCTTTATGGAAAAAAGGGGGAAAAAATGAAAGAGAAAAGAAATTTTTATGAATGATCATAGTCGTTTTTGGGTGACTACAGTCGCCTTTAGTATACAGGGAGCGTTGAACGTTGAGTAACTATAGTCACGTTTTTAGTAAGGAAAAGGTAGAAAGTAAAATTCAACGAATTTTCATATTTTTTGCAGAAATGCTTTGAACGAAGAAGAAAGAGCCCAAAAAGCCCTCTACCTGCTAAGAACGCGAGATTATCAAATAGCTTTCTTGGAGAAACGAGTTGCAGAATTGGAAGCTGCCGCCGCTGATCTACACGAAATTGTCATTCAACAAACCTCGAGAGCATCGTCGATCACAGTACGCAACAAAACTTCTTCAGACAAAAATGAAGAATCGTGTAAGACAGAAAATGACGATGAAACTGACGAAAAAACTGATCCTTATGTGTCCAGCAATGATAATTTACAGAAAAATAATGTAAATGGGAATTGTGACGTCACTGTGGGCAATCGAGTGTTCGTTCCACGTTTGAAATTGTCGAAATCTTCAACGTCGAATTCAGGGAGAGAAATATTCTCCACAGCTATCGATTTTGTGGTTGAGAAGAAGAAATGTCTTACTCCTGACACCACTTTTTCTTTTTCCAACGAAAATTCAGAGAAGACGATTGAAAAGGACGAAAAATTCCGCGAGAAAAGTGTCAATCATGCAAGTGAAACGAAAGAGAAAATTGTGAATAATCGGAAGACAGTTGAAGATTTGAAGGAGAAGAAGATGGTTCAAAAAGAAAGTGAAATTGTGTGTGAAAATAAAAGTGATAAGAAAAGTAGTTCTACTGTGTCAATGGAGAAGAATAAAGAAAACGTTCTAGTTGCTAGTGATAGAAAAAAGTATAATAATTTGCCAAGAAGTTCTTCGAGTGTTCCGTGGATTCGAGCGAAACACTGTTACCGGAAGAAGCTTCGAGGCTCCGAGCTGAAAACCGGAAGAAGATTCAAGGAGCTGCCTGTTGGGGATGGACACATGAACTTCGCCGCGTTTGGGTGAGTGAATCTCATTTTTTTACTATCGTTTAAGTAGAATTTATTGCAATAACGGTGAATGAATATAACAACTCTGTTTCTAAAAGAAAAACAATATAAAGGCATGCTTTAACCTTCAAACGGCGGATGCCGGGTCACTGTTGACCCGGTTTTTAGATGCCGGCATTCGAAATAGAGTAAAATAAAAAAAAAACATTAGGTTCATCTTGTGTACAGAAATGATTTTAATATTGGGTCACATTTGACCCGGTGTCCGCCATGCATGTGACTATCGCGCCATCTGCTGTCCTAATAATGTGAATTTTTATAAAAATTTAAAAGAAATTATCCTTCCTAACACTTTGGATTATTCATCTCCAATAGTCTTGGATATTTTTCAATATTATTACAATTTATTCAATTAATTTATCAACATCGATACAAATCTAACCTAAAAAGGTTGGGAAACACTGACCGATCCGGTAAAGCACCCTAGACCAATTTCTCAAGTCCGGTACCCGGGCACGTACCGTTCGATTTTTCCCTGAAGTCCGGTCCAGTCCTTAGCTAGACACGAAAATGCATGTAATTAGCTGAAATTGATGTTGAACGCGAGCACGGCCGCAATTTTAATCGGCTGTCGTATGATAATTACGCGCGCCGACCGGCCAGCCCTCGACCCACGCTGGATAAATCATCTCTCTCTCGTGCTCGCGCCATCGAATGCCCCGCGAACGATTCCCAGGTATTCATTTACTTCGTATTAATCAATGCGTGAAATTGATTACGGCTAGTCGAGGTCCGTAACGAGGGTTGCCCGATCGACCGACGGGAAACACTAGTTGGGAAAGGAGAGCCATTGAAACTGGGAAAGATTCGATATCTTTATGTTTTCACGGCGAAAGAAAGCTTTCTTTCTTTGATTTTTAATACGTTCACTGTTCGAAGGGAAACTTACTTCCTTACACGTCTAAGAAAGTGATATGTATTCCATATGTTTGTCGACTGAGAATACTCTTGTTACAAAAAAAAAAGAAATAATTTGAATTTTTATGAAAATGTAAACATAAACTGCCCTCTATAGTACGAGTATCTGATTTTTGATTTCGAACTCTCTTGAGCCATGTGTGGTCAAAATTGAGTGAAGTCGAAATTTACATCGAAATTGAAATTATATTGCATTGAAGATTAATAAAAATTCTATGTAATCACAAAAAGTTTTAAACTCTGACAATATTCGAACTAAACTTACTTCGAACACACTTCACACCTAATCTCAATCATACTTGACATTCCACAAAATACATATTCATTTCATTCTCTCTGAAATCCAAGTCACTTCACTAAGCACTCAAACGGGAAAGGAAAGTCTATCCAGCTCCACTGTCGCAACGTTGTCGCAGCGATCTCCGACAATTACTTAACCCTTGCTCCCTGTGAGCGCAAGATTCCGTCGATCGACAAGACGCGAGCAGCCAATGTCGGAGGTCGTCGAATTATTGCCTGTCACGACACGTCCGAAACGGCGTGATTTCGTCACTATCGACAATCCCGCCATCTGGCGAGGCAATGGCTGCCTCGAGTCTCGACCAGCGTGTATCGTACATCGGATCACGGCTTGTTTTACGATTTAAGGAGCGTCTCTTTGTTGAGTCGTGACGACGATCGGTTCGACTTCCACGATTGCGACACCCGTGTTGTTGTGGAGAGGGCAAAAATACGACCGGCTCGTTCCGTCGACCGAGTCGTTTCCCTTGCTTAGACCGTGTTCCGATGGAAAGTGCGCAGCCATTTTTTCCGTAGGGGATCTTGGGATTATGTCGATTGAGGAAAGTTTTGTGTTTTTCATTGGTGTCACTGTGGAATTATAACGTGATTGAAACTCGTGGAATGATCCATTTTTGTGTTAAAAATTTAGATTATTTACTTTTGCACGAGTAATTAATGAGTATGGTGGACATTAGTTGACGGTCGTAACATATGTCTGTATGAAAAAGGCTTAATTCACGTGTTAAAGTAAATAGAAGATGTTGTAGGAACATACATTATGTATGTCGTATGTTTTTAGTTGCAGAAGAATTTGAATAATGATCTACGAGAGAATTATTCAAATGATGTCTATTTTTCAATAAGATGTTAAAACGTGTTGTGCATTAAGGTATAAGATGAATACTTAGAACATTTCCTTTAATCAACAGACACTTATTGAATATTTTTTTCCTCATTATAATGTACAGATTGATTTCCTGAAATAATGATGTATGTTTTTGCGCTACTTTATGTATTAGCAAAGATGATTATTTTTTGCAACATTGTATCTTCTTTGACTCTAATGAAACAGCATAAATAGCTTCTGGAAGGAGCATAATGTTTCCGTAAACAACAGGGTACACATAAATTACCGCTAATAATAACCAATGTTAATATAACAATCTTACTATGATTAGATTACAAAAATACACTCGTGTTTAAATTCAAAAATCATCACCAATAGCAGCCACACTCCACTTAACAAGACATTTCACGATCCTCGACTCGCGATAACTAAGAACACAGTCATCCTCGTACATTTACGATCCTCTTACCCATAGATCGCATGAAACAACCTAACCAACAGAAGAATCTTTCGAAAAGAAAAAGGAAATAGGTTAACCACGTTCCCTCCCTTTAAAAACATCCTCGTAAGTAATATCTTTATAGATCGCATAATGCAACAATTAAATTATGCGCGTGCACGAGTCGCAAATTGGCCGGAAGACCGGTCTTCTTATTTACATTATCACCTCACGAATATTCCGCGATACTCGTGTTGTACACGCGCCGATATATCTTTATGGCGGTCGGGCGATAGGGGCGCTCTGTGGCGCATGCGCGCGCACACACATCGTTCGTAGCCAACGTTATCGCGAGCCGTACGTCGCGAAATTAATCCCAGGCCTGCAAAATTCGGCCGGTCGGTCGAATTTCAACCGCTTGCACGTTTAATTGATGACGGGGAAGATATTATGAAAATGCTCGCGCGCCGGCAAATATACGCACACACACATGCGAGAACAAGTAGAGTCGAGTCGTTTGCGTAATTTGTTATTGCGTACGCGAAACCGTCGGTATATGGAATTAACGAGCGGGCCCATTAAATTTAACGACCGTTGACTCGGACGTCCACGTGGATGGTTCACTCGCTCCTCGGCTGGGACGGCATGGCCTCACTCTCAGAGTCGAAACGCGAAAAAATATGTGACAAATGATCAGCGGAAAGAACAATTTTTATCGTTTTCATTTTTTTATATAATATTGTAATTATTAGTCTCGCCATATACGAGGTGAATTTTATACGGATGTTTAATACATTATTGAAGGGTTTTGTTTTTATATTACATAATATACATATAATAAATATTCAAAGTGTAACATTTTTTTGAGACAGAAATGGAGAAGTTTGTTATAGTTCTCAATAATTATTCATATCACCAATTTGATCTTCTCTCAAACTAACCTAACGTTAGCAAAAATATTTAATGGTCATACCAGACAAAAAATAGAATAAAATAATATTATAAATAGAATAGTTCGTTGAAAATATTGATCTAAATTATAAAATTCGGTATGAACTTATGGGATGACCTGATACCTTAATAACTGTCATTGTCCGCCATGTTGCAATCTTGAGTTCGTTGCGTCTCATCAACTTTCGTTCTCGCGCATGCGTCGTGTGACGGTGAATTTCCGCCGTCCAATTAGCAGAATCTCGGTGACACCGTGGTGGACGCTAAAAGAGGGGCAGAGGATGGACGGCCGGTGACAAAGGTAACGGGGCATCCGGCGTGATCGGCCGCGGCGTCCATCTTTACTCCGCGCACGTTCCGCGCTTCTTTCAACCGAGCTGCCGAACCTCCAATTAAAGTCGCCAGTCGAGAGCCTGGCAAGCATCAAGTGCTGCTTCGATTCCGAGATTCTAGGGGAAAGATAACGTGCTGATCGAAATACTCCCGTCGAACACGTTTCGTTTCAGAGTAATGGTCTTCGTGCAATTTTATTGTTAATTAACAACTCGTCTTAATCACACTTTAACTATAATGTATACACCATCAATAAGATTAAAATTTAATAATATTTATTTATTTATTTTAATGAGTATGGATCAATTTGTGTACAGAATAACATAGTCAGAGAGCAGATGAAATATTTATTGTTACAAAAGAAAAATTATGTTAAATTAGATTTAGTAACAGCAATGACCATTGGTAAACTTTGGTGAGACTTTTTCCTTGCTTTCAATAGCAGCCGAAATAATTCAGATGTTCGTCACAAATGAAACACTCTGTATACATTCAAAGAGTGTGACATGGGAGTTAGTGACGCTTACAGATGGTTAGTAATATTTGATAATACAAACTCGTACAACTTCGTCATTGCCAGAATTTCAACAAAAAAGTCTCTTCGCTCGTTATCTCATCTTCACTACCAATGAACAAGCCAATCGGCCCCAATCAGCACGATCTTCCCTCAGAAAACGACAAATTAAATAAGCACCGTCCATCGAAGAATTCTTCCGCGTGGATGCCGCGATACGGAGCACATTAGCCTGCAAAATTAACGAAGGAACCGCCACCGAAGCAGCCGTGATACGCGCGGCACCGGACAGCCGCTATCAGCGATCCTCTCGATCTGTCGACGTCTCGTCCAACAGCCGAAAATGAGCGACGATCGGTGCTTTTATCGCGACTGGCCGTGATTTGCATAAGCAGGACCGCGTTGTTACCCCAGCTGGACGCGACACGCATGCGCGCGTATGCAAAGTGACGCGTTCGAGGTTATCCGCGACCTCGATCGCGACTCATCGATCGATCTGTCTCTATCTGACAGGGTGCATACAGGGTGCATACACGGTGAGAGGCATGTACAACGTGAGAGCCGAATGTTTTTAACAATATTAGTAATGTCGAAAGAAATTGCGTTTCATCTAAGTATGTACTTTTCTATGTTATTTGTTTTTTCTAGATCTTGGTATGTGTAATGTTTTCA